ATGAGTCATTCGATTCTGAAACAGCGTCTACATATTAGGTGAATTTGCTCATCTCATAGCATAAATGCTCTGAATTCGATATCAGGAAGTATTATGGATGTATTCTAGCAAGTCAACTCAAGTCAAGATACGCATCTGTTCAAAGGTTTTCCGATTTTCAATGACTCTCTTAGAGATATTGACTTATGACAAGATCTGACCTACATAAATAATGTATTTATGTAGATTTCTACAAGTGAGGGACTTTATTTAAGAATTCTTATCTTCTGTAAGCACAGAAATTGACCAGCAAAATTGATTTTTGAATGATTACTCTCTCTATGTACATATATCACTATTATTGGCATGAACACTTCTATAATCTAAATGTATTCAAGGTTAAGAATTGTTGGCTTAGCGGAGCTGAAATTGACTTTTAACACCTGAATAGGCATATTAATATATGTGTAAAACTTAGGCACTGTGGTAGTAAGTAATTCCATATCAGTTTGTTTATTAGATGTATCACACACAGTGAAACAGTATTACTATTTACTGGATGACACAGTTTCGAACACAATCTATTATTGTTCATAATCATTCCATCAATTGTAATCGCACGACTTAGAAACCTGAGTTGTATAGTTTTCTTTTTTTTCTCCTATTTGTCGTAGGGATAGTAGAATTTTCCAGATATCTGGGTGGACAGGTGTCGAATCATTCCTATTACACGTGTTTCCAATTGATTCGATAAACAAAGCTTCTGTTGACATCAATCTCTCCCTCCACCCTGCTGTCACATTAGATTTTAAAACTGTCATTCTATCCCATCCAACTTATTGTATGGTTGTATGTAAGTGCATGCAGTGAGTGCTATCGCTGAACTATTCTCTAGATTTCTTAGCTTATTATTTGGGTCAACTAATCTAGATTTCGCTGCTAGGTTTTTATGCTCGGCTATTCTGACTGACTGCGCCCGTTCTACTACTCTGACCTATGTATTTGACTTGACAATCATTGCAGGCAGGGCATTAGATAAACTAAATTGTTTTGTTTTAAAGGCTCCACAGGATTGATTCTTCAGCCGACTAAGCTTGTTTCGAATTGAATTTGTGGGTTTTAATGCCAGCCACTTTTATTCCTGCCTTGTTAGGGATTCTGCGTAAAGTGGTTTCCGAGGTTCTTTCCTTGTATAGAATTAATATTGATGATTTAGACACCTTATTGTTGGTGCTGTCTTGCGCGTATTTGACATACATGTCGTCATTAGTATTATTATTATCACTGTCACTACTATCATTATTCATTTCATTTTTATTTTCACATTTCCTTACATATTTCCTGACTAATTTATCCGGGTAATTATTAAGTTTCAAGGCTTCGCTTTTATGTATTACTTCCTGTCTTAGATTTATCATTATCATTAGATTTATTATCTTAGATTTATCGATTTGTACTACTTAGTTTTTGTGCTCTATTATAATAATAAATAATACTGTTTCACTGACTGTGTGGTATATCTAATAAACAAACTAATATGGAAATCTGAATAGGCAGTTTACTCCACAATAATATCAACTTTATTGAATAAAAACTTTTGTTATTTTTATTTATTATTCCCTTCTGGTCCCTAGTGGAACATAGGGCTTCAACAGCACATCTCAATTTTGTCCTGCTCTCCGAAGTCTTTTTCAGCTGGCTTCACAATCGCCCATAGTCCATGATCTCCTCCTGACATCACCTCCTCCATGTCACCCTCGGATCAACACTCCACTTGTCGTTTCCTATTTGGATTCCACTAGAACAATAACTTGACACGCGATGTTATTCTAAGGTTTCCTCAGAGTGTGTCCAATCCATCTCCGTTTCTTTCAGCCTATTTGCTGAGCATTGGATCCTTGATTGGTTCATTCTCAGAGTTTCACATTGCTGACTCTTTCTGGCCGGCCATCTGATCTTTAATATGGAGCCAGCTAATAGGGAAGCTGTTACTGAAAGTCTGCAGTGGTCCGTTTGAAATTCTGGTTAAGTTTCTCATATCCAATATAGAAATGGTTCACATTGGTGTTAAAAATCCGAATTTTGTTGTTTACACTGATTACAGAAGATTTCCAAACCGATTTCACAGTGAAGGAGGTCTGTTTTACCTCTCTGATCCTCATTGGCTTCGACATCCTCATCCGTGCTGCTTGCGTGTGGTTGAAACAATCAGCGCTTTCTAGATAAATGAAGCAAGTGACCTCTTTCAAATTTCTCCCCTTGATAGTCATTGGTGCTTCTTGCTATTGGGTGGTTGGTTGTCTTCGTCACCTTTGTCTTCTTTATCTTCACTTGAATTCCTGTCAGCTTATTGATTTGCACCTGTAAGTCTTCTAATTTATGCGGCATTAGACATAGCAGCATCACGGTTACTTAAGAAATCAATTCGGAGATCGTGTCAATGTCAAAGATGATGCAAATGCTAAAAGATCCCTATTCATCCACTCTGTGAGTTCATCAGTTATAAACGTTGACATAACGTCCTGAATAAGTGAGGTAGTTAATACACCAACTCCTTAAACTTCAAGTCAATCCAGATCAGTCCTTTTCGGTATCATCTTAGATTTTTTTGAAAAAGAGTGAACCATACACCAAAACTCACTAAGATTTCAGTTCTGCATGTTCAGAAGACTTTGCATTTTTTCAGCACCTTCAGAAGGACCAGAAGGACTACATTATTCGCATCGAGGATGCCATCAGTGAGTTCCTGACAGTTAAATACTCTCGATTTTGAAAACCTTACTTTATATTGCCCACAATAATTTGCTGTCTTACTAAAAATATCAGTCTCTAAGTGAGTATTTAAACAAAGTTTGATGTAAATGAAGTGACTTCTTAAATTTTAAGTCATGATAGTCGAAAATAGACTACTGCACAGTTTGAGTGATTTTAGCAGAAAACATAAAGTACAAGTAGCTTAAGCTTTCATTCTCCACATATACCACATAAAGGTGGCGAAAAAGAGATTTAAATTAAGTACAGTGAATAGAATTGTATGAAAGAAAGAACAATTATGTGGATAATAATGGATATGGCAAGTCAAAATACCATTAAGAAAAACTTTGAATCATGTCACCAACAGTCAACGGTTCAGAGGTAGAAGGTTCATCAGCCACATGTCACGTTGTCCGAGGCCCGGTCCCCGACCGATGCACATCTAAACCTCCTTAAGATGGTATTAAGGCCGGTAAAGAAGGAAGGTTGGGCATTAGGCTAGCAACCATAGCTACTGATATGTCAAAGCTGCCGACGGAAGCCCAATGTTCCACTCGGAACACAAAGGAATACAATTAAAAATCACCAACCGTTTGAAGCCATTGATTCTTGGTGTCTAGAGGACCCCATTTAGTCAGTCGATCAGTCAGTCTACACCGAGTGTATCTATGATAGCTTTATTGTGACTATTCACATTTGTTTTCAGTCATTATTATTGAAATGATCAAGTTTCGATGTGAATTCAGCCCATGTGTTTATAAGGTGAAGAAGATAAGCGTGAGAAAGTTGCATGGCTGCTGTGATTATTTTCGACCACTGAAAGCTCCACCTTCATGAACTTGAGCCAAAGTATACCACTATCCAAAACACGAAATTCTACTATAATTAGACTAATGGAGGTGCCTTTTTATTTGACGGACTATTTTCATCCTTGTACACTGGTGGTTCAAAGGTAGAATGGTAGCTGTAACCCACACTAAACTCTTTGAGCTCAACTGCTAGTCAACTCATTGTTAAATGCTACCCAGCTGGTAGTAACCCAGAAAAATGTGAAAGGTTTCAGAGAGGTGTGACCCTAGTAACCCTCTCCTTGGAAAGTTGAATGACATCCTAATTATTGCTGAAACTTCAAGGCTCGAATGAAGAGAGTTCTCATCCTTAAGTTGAAAATAAAATGGGCTCCTAGTTTATCAGAATTCTGATAGAGTAAATTTTTAAGTAGAATATGACCGTCAACTTGGTTTTGACACTTTAACTGGTCAACTTATCTACAAGCTATCTAGAGTGTAGTTGTTTCGATCTATAGTCATAAATTTCTCAAAATTAGTGATTATATAAGAGGAAAACCAGCATGGTATATATGTGATGTAACAGCAGTATATAGATTATACATTGGAGGAATATAAAACTCTAACCTGATAGCCATAAGCACAAGTGGTGAATGTGCTTATAAACATATTAAAATACTTCAGTTCAACCATGAAACGTGTACTTCTTTATAGTTATCGTGAACTAAACAGTCGATGAAGACAGGACTTCAAGTGAACATGGATAAGATAGAGGTGATGAAAGTACCCAGCAACCGACCAACCAATCAACAACAACAAGTACCAAACACCGTCAAAGGGAGAAATCTAAATAAATTTACCTCTTTCAGTTATCTAGCCAACATCGTTTCTACTACAGGCCAGTAGCACGGATGAGAATGTCAAAGGTATTCAGGATCGGAAAAGCAAGACAGACCTTCATTACTTTGAAATCAGTGTGGATTGTACTCAGTATAAAAAATAAGATTCAACACCAATGTTAGTTCTTCCATAAGTGTCAAAAACTTGGCGCGTCGCGGAAAGCACTTCCAACAATGTCTGCCCAGTTCCCTTGATACTGAAAGGATGAGCAACTAAGAACTCTGATGGCGAACCAACCAAGGACATATCGTTCAACAAATATGCAGAAGCAAGTGAAGACTGTTGGGATATATGGTGTGGAGACAGTAGAGTATCATCATGCGCCAGGCCTACTACTAAAGGTCAAGTAGAATACGAGGAGATGGGCGTCATTTTGAGTATGGCAGGGAAGAAATCATGTGAAGAAGAAAAAAAGAATATACGCAATTACGAAACCAGCTAAAAATGATTTTAGAGGATAGAATGAAACGCGTATATTCTGCTGAAGCCCCATATTTCACTACAAATTCACAATAATAATAATAACAAGAATAATAGTATTAACCAGAATTAATTTACACATCTAAAGGAAGCACTTACTTGTTCTCTTCCATCAAAACTTCCAGTTGTAGATAACATTTGTAAAAGACCATTATATGTATCCATAGATGGTTTTAAAACGAATACACCAGCATTGAAACAATCTGGCCAGAGTGTATCAGGAGCTGCTGACAATTCAGGTCTATCAAATAATTCGTCTATGTTATCTAATACCTAAATTCGTTAAAAACAAATTATGATGTTTCAGACAATTCTTAAAAATGTTAAGTAATGATTAGTCTATGAAATGAGTGTTTAGGAAGACTGTTGTATAATCTAATATTTACAAATAGAATGCAGTGTAAAAGTTTTCTGTTCCGCCATCAATTTGAAGTTAGTCAGTCAGTTCTCAGTAACCCTTAATATCTAGAGGTTGTTAAAAGAATGCGCATCATTTAGCAAAGCGTCGAACCAACTAAAATATCAGATATATAGTAAAATGTTAACGAAATGTCATACGTGAATATCAAATGTACAATAAAATCAGCCTCACCTAATACCCGAAAATTATGTAACCAGGAGAAATTTACTTGAGCTTTTCCCACTTACTTAAAATGGAAATCTTATTAGAAAGCCAAAAAATAGTGTGGATGACAATAAGAAAGATACTGAATGAGATAAACACGTGCAAACATGTAAACCGAAACCTTTGAGTATATAGGATCTGAGAAATAATAGTGATTTCAGATATCCAGAAAGAAAACACTAATATATGTATCGCAGCTTCCTCTTCTAAAATTGCCAAAGCTTATGGTTTATCAGTTGCAATATACTTATTTTTAAAGATTATAAACAAGTAGCATAATTAATTATGAATAAATGGCTGTTTAAAACACTATAATATAGTTCAAATATACTACGAGTATCGCTTAAACCTTCATTCATGTTTCTCACTTCATGCTCGAAAATATGCCTTAAATCAATGCTAATGAAATTGAAATAGGAGTGTTCATAGTGTTTTCAAAGCCAAAAGGCAATGTGAGTTACCGACTTTTGTTTCAGGATAATAAATCACTACCAAAAGTCTTATCTTGGCTTGTCATCATAGATTAATGTAAAGCATACTGTTTTTCACATCTAAGATAGAATAAAGTTTTTATTCTGCTACCAAACAATAAGATTCATTCTGTTCATTACTTAATTATGATACTAAGTCTGTAATAACCTGACTTCTGGGGCCGGGAAATGCACATGAATAGAATAACGTTAGCTGAAAATGTACTTAAAATTCCAATCTTCACGCTACTAGGTTTATGCTCTACCGGGTGAAGTAAGCGAAAAAATTGAAAGCTAGTATTTATGAGTAAAATGAACATAGTTGATGTTTGTTCACTTAAATAAACCGCAGAAAAATGCAAAAGGAAATAAAAAAGGTCCTTTACCAAGGTATCTGCATCCATAAATACTGCCTTGTCAAACTCAACAAGACTCCAAGCACATATTTTTGTAAAAGTTGCAGTTAATTCTTTGCGATTACCAAGAAAAGGGTTATTCCAGTCTTCAGGAGCGACGGGCTGTACTTCAATCACATTATCGTAATACAAGGGTAAAAGTGATCTGAGAAAATATAAATGACAACGTTAACACGAAACAAACCTCATTTTAGGTGTTAGAGCTGAAGTCACGAGGATAGTGAGTTCTTTCTTAGTTTCTGTTTGTCTGAGGGAAGCTCCCAAAACCAATGCGCCCACACAGTATTCATCATTTGTTGCCAAAGTGATGAAAGTCTCCCTTACCATATCCACCCAGTTATAACTTATCACATTAGCTTCACGAATTGGACCTGACACACCCGTTAGTACAGCTAATATGATGCATTAAAACAAATATACGTGACCAGATTTGAGTGCAAATTCTACCTCTAAATCATAAGGTACTGAAGGTTTATAATTTTTAAGTCATGATCTGATAAAAAGTAGCGTGCTAATGCATGAGAAAAATTAGCGGTTGATCTTTAATTCTTGAATTGTGACTGTCAAACTTAGTACATAGTTGAAAGAAAAGAACTGTAGGCACACTGCTGAAGTACCCAAATTGATGAATGATGTTGGTGAATAAAGCTGAGTATGAAATTGTACATGTGGAGTTTGCAAAATTTAAATGAAGCTTTTTCTTTAACTGGGCTAAAATCTCTCCTATTTAGAATTCCTAGTGAGGCAAGACGTAAAATCCCTAGTTCAGGATCATCACATTGAAATCGTGACTTAAGAAGCACTTGGCCAATGCATACAAGCTCTACAGGAATCCACTGGCATGTCTGTTAATTTGCAATTGGTTATGTGACTTCAGCTCTATGGTTTACCGTTTCCAGATCATTAAGGATGGTACAACTTAAGCCTACTTTAATCCCATGGGCAGAGTGTACTGTAGAAATCCGAGCTCACTTTAAATTATATAATGCTGATATAATGTATTCCGGAAGATGATTCCGCTAGTTCGCAATTAACTGTGAGAATCGAGTTTACAATCGTAGATAATCCCGATGTGAAATCTTTGCAAGTGGCTAATTCTAGAGGAGAGAAAAGACAGGATAAATCGCCATCTGGAGCACAACATCACAGAGCCTCAGCCTTACCAGCTAAACCGACTGAGCATTCACCAAGTAGAAGAGCTACATATAGGCTTTAGGGACGCCCGTTTCTAGATAGGTAAATAAAGGTGTTACACCGATTTCTGGATTCACAATATTGTGACCGAAACGTGGCGTCCCAACGGAGATGTAAGGGTTCCACAGCTTTCACCTATTAAATAGGAACTTCGTAACCGGTTTGTCTTCCTACTGAGTACGATTGTTCAACTTGCTAAGAACTCTTCACGTGAGACTATTCCAAGTTTTTATTTATCACCAATTCAATCACTGGGAAATTTAGCTAAAGAGCATCTCTGAAGAACTGCAATATCCACAGTGCAAGTCAGTTGGACGTTATGATCTCTGAACACATCGTGCACTTATTCATCCAATTTTCGGAATATCATAGAGGACATTAGAACACTGCATAATCATAACTAATGAAAACTGCTCCTTTGGCTTATTAATATCCAGATATATCGCCTCCAGAATTTTGTTCCGAACCTACTCTTTTGAGAAGTTTATCTCACATTTGCAAATAATTAGCCACCTAGTTTGGAAGAAACTTTTACATAAGTCCTTTATTTTGTGATATGAAAATATCAGAGTTCATTTGCTGGATAATAGTCTTTTCGTGGTCCGTACTTCTGAATTTGTAACTTTCGTCCGTCTTTTTTATATATATGAACACTACGACCCACTAATGCACCTTCAATAGCTATTCGGTGTCTCTAGTCACTCGATATATTATTTACTTAAATATCTGGTTTCTCTTTTAACCCATGTTTCACCTGAAAACATTATAATCTGTATACAACAGCGATCCAACGTAATAAATGTATATATTTTGTAGGCGCCCTCATCATTCTACATTTTGCATGAACCCAAAAATGTCCCTGTTTCGCTCTCAGATCTGCGTGCAGTTATTGAACAAATTGAACTGGACCTTATCGAAATCGGGTGTATGTTGGACTTAAATGCAAATGAAGTTACTAAGCAAATTATGTCCTCTCCCAACGTTCTAGTATGCAGTCTGACTTACACTTACTTAATTAGGTGTAGATAAATGTAAGACTGGTTCACCTGCCCCATGGTATTCAAATTCAGTAGCACTAACTGTGCAGCGAAATTCCTCTTGTTTAACAAACGTACCAGTCCATCGATGTCTCATAGTAAAATTAAACTTACTTTTTATCTAACCCCATACCAGTGACACAGTCACGTAAGTGTATCGAATATCGCTAAAACCTATCTAGCCACAGAACTTCCAAAAGAAGCTATTGTCCTCTTAACTGTAGGTAAACTATCTATAATAATAATATATTCTCATTTTGTACATGAGGGACCCCAGTTCACAGGCATCATCATCATGACAAACTACATATACGATTACTAAGTATATTTATTAATAGTAACTTAATAAAATACATATTTTTTCCTACCTGTGCGGATCTAAGCCCATGTTTAGTTCTCGAACTATCAAAAATGCATGTTGCTGTCCTACAGATCCGGGCGATTCACATTTGCGACCACTACCATATCTACTGGTCAGCATGTGCCGCCCTCCATCTACCGCGCTTCAATGCTACTGTTAGCCAACACATCCTGGAATAGCCGTAATTGTTTCATTCTTCCTCATGTGATTGAGGCGGTGTAAGTAACAGCAAGGCAAAGAGGTGATAATATTTTATTCACATAAATTAAGCATTTACATGACTGACATACCTTTTGCACAGATCATATTTGAGAAGTGCAACTATAGAATGAACACTGTTTTATGACATAAAAATTGATAAAAAGGAAAACACTCCAGAAACTTTATAGAAAGTTTATAATGCTTACTTTTAATGAAATAAGTTATAAGATATTAGTTTTAGTCTAGTTTTCAATCTTCAATACGCCCATAGTCTGTCACTTTCACGTGGCAATTACAAAACGTTAAGTAATTGGAAGGTAAAAAGAAACATGATATACAGGTGCTAGAGTAAAACTCTTAGAATGCACGACTTACAATCATTATCGGTTAGTCAGTTATAAAGGGTTTGAAAATTTATAAAACTCCATAGTATTCGGTAAGCGCAGCATTATTTTGGTGTAAGCAGATACAAGGTTAGGGTTGTTTGGACTTAAGAGTCAACCGGTCGTGTAATTTAAGCGGACGTAACAGGACAAATAGTAACTCATCAATCACGACCGTCACTATAGCTGAGGCGAACAGGAAAATGAGAACTAAGTCGTCCAAACAACGCAACTTGCTGGTCTCCTACTGCGTTACTTAATTCCTTTGTCGTCATGGGCGTGGACTGAGCAAATCGCATGGTAGCAAAGATATTTCGGATTTCACCAAACCGATAATTACGTAGCCAGAACTTCCCTGTTAATCTAGCTTGTCTGTGTCTGACTCGTGGTCTAGGGTCTTGTATACAAGGACACCTACCCTCTTTATCCCGTGACAGTTGTATTTTCGCTGCTGTTTTCCTTTAGCAATTCGAAGCTGGCCAGAAGTTCTGATATTATTCAATCGGTAGCAGTTCCTTATAAAACTTTAAAGTCCACACGTAGTCCTCCTATTAGACTGCGCTACCGAAGACATACGCTATTCCTTTTCTGTTCATTGCATCGGTCCTACCTCACTACAGGTCCTACATTGAGTAAGACCCTTCATTCTTTCATTAATTTAAACGTTAAATGACTTCAACATTTTTCTTTGAACTCCAGTAATATGTATACAAACAGTCTGACTTACTAAAATGCGACTTAAACAACATCATCTACTTCTTTGTAATATTTTGGGTTATTGGGCTCGACAATAGGGAGAGATGAGAATTGAGTGATGCACATAGACCAACAGCTTCATCTACTTCGTATATGGTGGATTTCTGCCGTGCCAGGTGACATGTAAAACAGGAAGGCATTTCCAGGGAAAAGTTGAAGACATTACTGAATGAACGCAAGTGATGGATTGAATGCCGTAATCATTGTGTTGGGGCTGAGTAATTCAGTCAAAGCATATCGTGTATCGTACGCATGAAAGGTGTCACAATGAATGAGACAAACAAGAAAAAATTACCCACTGCAAGATAAACGCCAACACTTGTTATTTTGCTGTCAACTCCTTGCGGTTATTGTGATTTCGTTTTTATAAGTAGATAAATTCACGAAATACATACACGGTGAAAATTTCATCCTATATAAAAATCATAACATGAAATGAAGTTATTAGTATCATGATGAATACGAAGTCACACCCTCCGGAATGAAAATAGCCAATTTTTAACAAGTTGGTGTCGTCACTTTCTAGGGACTTAATGTAAGGAGGCAATTAAGAAATTTGAACATACGCACAACATTTCGCATTTGAAGATGTAACCAGCTGCAATGTGAACTACTGTTGACATCTGTGAAGCAACAATAAATTTGCAGAGGCCTTAAATCGAAACTCAACATTATGAATTTTTCAGCATACTTTTCCGTCATAGTTAAGCGAAAGAGGAGAAGTTCCAATGCTTTCACTGTGGTTACGTGGAGGAAGAGGTTATAAATGACGCTGGTGTGTGTCTGGAAGTCTGACTGTGGGTGACTAATATTTTTGAAGGCTTGACTGGTTTGTAGGGGATCAAAGAAGTTCGTCAGCTCAATTGAAACTCAGCCATTTCACCGTCAACGATTAGTTCGGATATCCGTATGGACTGAAAAAATGGTGGTCAGTTCACTTTTCAAGTAACAAGAATGCGATGGCTTCGTTGTGGTGCGATTATCTGCCCTCACGCTCTCTTCAGGTTATTGTCAATACATACATCTTCCAGCATCTGCATGTGTTATATTCCGCTTTCTCTAGCTGGCATCGTTTTAGGGGCAGTCTGGTCACCAGGTGACGTGGGTCAGGATAAGGAGTCAGCAGGTAATATGGCTGAAGCTCAGGTTTGACAGCGTTGTGAGCGTTGTATTTAGTCGAAGCCAATTGGAAGCGAGTTTAAGTTCGTTAGGGCAGCCTTACTAACTGGCTTCCCAGATATCTATGCCACATAATGTCGTGTCTTGATGTCGTAGTTTACTGTTCTAATACTGTGATGTGTTTTGTAGCCGCAGTTGATTTGTGCGCCGGTAGCATAGCGGTTGGGATTCTCGCCGACCATGTACATGGTCCGGGGTTCGATCACCTGCCGACACACGCCTGATATCATTGGTCGACCTGCAAAATTTGGGCTACCGATATCACATTCTGAAAATTCCATTCTTGTGACAAAATACGGTGTGGAATCAAGCTATAATTAAAAAATGAAAACGAAGATACTGTTAATGACCTACTTCTAGTCTATTCTATACCTACCGAGTCTCAGGAC